ATAATATCAAAATATCCAGGTTTAACCAAATAAGTTGAACATGGAATCATGGTTTGTTGAAATCTTGTTTGAACAGCTGGTGCATTATCTCCTATTCCACCACCATCTTGTTGTAAAATTGAATTTGTTAACTTGTAAAAATCTGTTATGATTAATCGATGTTTTGGAAAATAATGTTTCAATACAATTAGGAATTGTAATAGTTTTGTTGGTATGAATTCTGATTGTGTCATATTATAGGCAAGTGGTAATTTGTTACGAAGTTTTCTTAATAGACGGTTTTGTAGTACTGGTGACTTGTAAGAAGTTTGATTCCTTATTGAGAGGAGTTTACTGATTAATGGATCATTAATTGGTTCATAAACTTCTTCAAAATCACCCTCATTATCTATTATCACTACACCTTGTAATGGTTTCTCATTAATTGCATCATATCTAATTACATCATGAGCAAAATTATCCTACATAAATTTTTTTTTTTTTTTTAAGAAAATTTGAAAATTAATTTAGTTGCAAATCAAATCAAATTAAATCAAATCAAATGATTCATATTTTATTATTGTACATACCAACACTTCACAAGCCAAGAAAAAACAATTTTCATTAACAACTTCACACCAATCAAAAATATTTTTATTAATAATCTCTATACAATCATGATGATTATTTAATGTTTTTGCTGCTGCATCTCTTCCACCACTACTACCAAGAAAACCCACTCTTTGATTTTTATTATTTTTACTTTTTTGCATTTCAGCAGCCAATCTATGACTGATTTCCACAACTCTATATTTAGTTTTTTTATAAATTGCTGGTTCAAATTTCTGTAAATAATCCAATATATTTAACATTAATGTTCCATTGCCAGCTCCTAATTCATAAATTATTAAGTCATTTTGAGGATTTAGATTATATTCTGTTGCTATATATTTTGCTATTGAGTAACCATACCATGGCTATATAAAAAGAAATCATATAAAAGGAAAAAAATAAATATAAAAGATTAATAATCATGATATATATTTTTTTAATTTTAATTAATTACCTTGAATAATTCAGTAGGGGTATGCCGAATTTGTCTAAGAAATTGTTTATCTTCTTTCTCTAAATTATTTTCGAATTCTTGATACTGTTTACCAACAACATTTAAAAATTCCAAATTATCTTTTATTTCATTAAATTTAACAACATTATCATCCGAAGTTGAAAAAATTGCAACGTTTTTTGAAAAATATCCATAATTCGGATTGTATAATGAATCATCAATAAAATCTCTAACTAACATTGTGCATGACTTTGGTGGTTCTTTATAATTTAGAGTGTCATAGGATGTCAAACGTGGAATATTGAATCGATTTTTTTGATTTGGTGTAAATGTTGGTAATGAGGAGGAGGAGGCATGGGTACAAAAGGTAAATTTCTTAGTAATTTTTTTATAAGAAATATCTAAGAAATTTGGTGAATTTCTTAAATATTTTTTGATGGACATTTTTATAAATAAACCTTTAGAAAATCTTTATTTTTTATATTAGAAATTTTCTTATGAGAAATCCCTAAATATTTTTCAATAGACATTTTTTTATATAAAAAATAAAGATTTTTTAGATATTTCTAAGCATTTTTTTTTAGTGGGTACTTTTTATAATAAAATCCTTATTGATTAATAATAATAATATAGCAAAATATACTATTTAATTATAGCGCATATATATAACAATAATTCATTTTTATTAAAGATTAAATTTTTCTATTTAAAGGAATTACCACAGTAGAAGGAATTTATGTCCAGGAAGAGTATAACTTCCTTTTACAAATTTATTAAAAGTTCTTTGTACTGGAAGAATGCTTTCTAAAGTTAATGTTTTATTTAACTATCCCCAAAGTTCTACATTATACATTTTTTTATAAGTATCTCCCTGTAATCCCGATTCTATATAGAACCAATCTCTCTTTTTATGTGATTTAAATCAACTAACATAGCAAAGAGTATGTTCTGTTATCCCTAAGGAAGCTTTACAGAATGCTTAAAATAATAATTAACTACTCCTGGATAACAAACAACTTCTTTGTTCTCAGTTAAAAATTGTGCAATAATATAATATAAGCATTGGGATCTGATTTACAACCTACTGATGAAAATATTTCACCTCCGAGTTTAAGAAATTTTTATTTTATCTCTTAATTCGTGATACGTGATAGAAATAGATAATAATAGTAATTTCGTCTCAATGGATTATAATTAAATTCGCGTTTAAAAACCTTGTTACTATTACTATTACACATTATTATAAAACATATAAAAATCCATTATAATTAGTAATTTCGTTTCAATGGATTTTAATGAAATTTTCTTATATGTCCAGCCACTCCATTGAAACGAGGGCTAAACTGTACAATGGACGTTGTTTTTGTTCTTTAAGAAGCTCCCAAATCGGTAAAAGGTAATCTAAACAAAAAATTGAAAATGCTTTTTGTGAAAAATCATAGTATATATATCCAATGAAAATAATACTAATGGTACTAATAGCAGTGATGTTTATGTGGAGATTTGAGCAATAAAAAATGGAAACTAATAATATTCAATTATATTATTGAAGAATAATTAAGAATAAAAAAAATATATTCAACTTAAAAAAAAAAATCATTAACACTTTAGATTTCTTTATACTTTATCACTGATTTTAACCATAAATAGTATTTTATGGGCCAGACCAAACCTTGTTGGTCTCAATGGACCCGGCCTATTGCCAATCCTGGGATAATACTCCTTAAATTGAAAATAAGCACATCTTTATAAAAAGATTAAGGTGTTTTACCTTCTCAGTTTGTGAAACATGCTTTATCTCTTAACAAAAGTGTCAAATATTACATCCTGCAAATGATAATCACTAACTTTTTTTAAAAATAATTGATTTTCGGTAACCTTGGCACCAAGCAAAGTGTTTCAAATCAATAATATTCAAAAAGATATAAAATATTATATTATTATTGAATACTAATTAATATATTAATTGAAATATTTCTTTGTAACATACCAATGCAATTCCTTTCTTCAGGAAGTGGCTAGGAAATAAGATAATTCATGGATAATCTTTAAATTGGTAAAGAACTCCATCGCATGCAACCACAATCCGTTTTTTCTCTTGCTTATTGATTCCACTAAGTTCTTGTATGTGATCAAGAACCTTACGAACATTGTCAATTGAGTTTGGATTTATTGGCAACAGGTCAGGTACAAGAATATCTGATACACTGATACCTTCACCAGGAACTGATTTTTGTGTTATACTAATGGGACTTGTATTTACGTTTAAAGTCTTTTTTCAATTTGATAGAATTTAATATTTAAAGGTGCTGTGATATTTTCTTTGGATGTTTCCTGATTTATTTCTTGTTCTTATTCTGGAAAAAAGCAAGGAGAGGGTAATATTACATTGAGGACACTTACATTTCGAATTCTCTATTTCATTCATACCATATTCACCACGCTGTTCAAACAAGATTTCAACAAACCATGATTCCATGTTCAACTTATTTGGTTAAACCTGGATATTTTGATATTAT